ATGATTTATTCTGAAACTATGGCTCGAACCTATCATAAAGCGAATTTTTTTTTTCTGTAAAATCATACTATCACACTTTTTCAATTTATTTTCATTTGAATTATTCCTATCTCAAATAATTGAAGCAAGTCAGACCTTGGAATCTGACTGACCTTGAGATGGCTCGATCTCCATTGGACTGCTTCAAGGTAGTCCTCCCTCGATGATTGATCGAGATCAGTATGTTCTCGAATAATTAACATTCGAGAAATAGTTTTTGAAAAATTTACTTTGAAAATGTATGCTTCGCATGTTCAAACACATTGCTTATATACGGCTATCTATGCATAAAAAGAACGGTGAATGACTAGTCAGCACATAAATACTAATGATATCGTTCTTTTACTCAAGATCTTGTGAAAAAATAATAGTAACTGCTGTCTTTTCTATGATCTTGGCAAGATCCTTAGTGCAGATTTATCCAATACAATCAAGATATTCACATACATATGATCTTTTACAAATCTTTTCAAGATCCTGCTTATCGGTTCCAAGATTTCAAGATCTTGCTTACACGATGTTTCACTAGGGTTAAATGCATTTTGTTTACTAACTGCGTTCAAACGCGTCTCAAATATTTTTTCAATCACGTTGGCATGCAATCATATTTCGGAGCACATTTGTACTCATTTATTTCTTTTGTATCAGTCGCAATTCCACCTCAAAAATTACTGCTCTAAAAGAGTTAATGGCGTGATCGAAATCATCGGTTTACATATATTTTATTCGTCTAAACTTCGTTAGACTTTTTAATAAAGAATGCCCAGATGATGTTAAACTTAAAATAGACAAAAATTCAATTAAAGATACGGCAAATAGTCCATATTTCTCTATAGTTTGTATGAATAATAATGAGACAATATTGTAATAGTTTTCAGCTATCCAATGTCCTTCTAGCAAGCTTCTCAATACTACTATTTAAATAATATGATTAATAACTTTTCATCATATATTCCCAATAAATAGATTGTATGAATAATTATTTATTCATTAAATTCTTCGATAAAATTATTTAGCATGTTATCAGTACAATAAAAAAACAAAACACTAATTACGTTTAGTAGACGATAAAAAAAAGATATTATTTTATTAAAAAATAATAAAATTATTTAAAAAAAATAAGTGAATAAACATGTTCTGTGCTAAATATCTTAACTTCGAAAAAAGTACATCTTATTGAAATAGAGTATTTAACCGATGAAATTCGCGTTCAAATATATTCTAGTTTGAATGAGAAAAGAATTCGAGCTACTATAGCTCAGTGGTGTGTATGAACGACTTCTGATCGCTGGTTCATCTGTTCAAATCTGATCGTCATCACTTAAGGTAAACTTTAATCCATTTGACAAGGTTGGCTAAGACCATCGAAAAATGTTGATGATGGCGACTCAGTTCGAATCTGAGATGGATTATCATATATTTTTCAAAATTTTTAGATTTTGTATGAAACGCGTTCAGACGCGTTTTTTAACGAAAACGCGTCACAGATGAAACATTTGAAGCGTCTGAACGCGTTTTCGTAAAAAAACGCGTCTGAACGCAAGTCAAACGACGAACGCATTCACACGCGTTTCTAAATAAATCGCGCCTAAACGCTTCATTTGTTTCACTGGGGACGCGTTCAGACGCGTTCACTCTCAGCGTTTCGCAAGCAAATAAAACGCGTTTCAGACGCGTTTTGAGGAAAAAAATATTTACATGGGCACCACTAGATAGTCAATCATTTGTTAGTTTTTTTTTAAATCATAGTTCACTCACCTAAATTACAGAAAAACAATGAAAGCATTGCAACAGATTGACCCATAGGTCGCATTCCAATCGTGAATACTTCATTTGGATATATGTATAGTAATGGACCGAGTTCAATAGCGAATAAAGCAATGAATAATAACATGAGAAGAAGTGTTCCGATTGTCAACTTCGCTACAATTGAATTTGATAAAATGGTGGCAAATATTAAACTTGAAAAAGAGAAAACATACTAGGATTAACTTTAATGAATACGCAAAGTAGTATCATAGTAATGAAAATTAATATAAGTGGATAAAGAATTAGAGGACATCGACCATATAATTCGATCCATCTGATAAAGACAATTGTTGCAATCAAATTTGACAAACCTGTAGCTAAAGTATTCCAATAAACTTTGTCCTCGACAAAACCCATACTTGAAAATGTTCCATCTGAATAGAAAAATACCTAAAAATCGATAATACTTCAATTCAATATTAATTATCATTTTGCACAATATTCACCGAGTTGATACCCGAAAATTGAGCAGCAGCACTGAGAATTACACTGGTTAATAGTGGCCAACGAAATCGAGACGAAGTGAATAATCGAACCAATGAAAGATCTTCCATATTTGCTGTTGCTTCTTCTCGTTCAATTTCAGTGAGTTCAGCGTGAACTTCACTAGTATTACGAAGAGTTTATAAGGATTGTAGAGCTTCAGCTTTCATACGTTCTTGCACAAACCATGGTGGACTTTCAGGTAACTTCCAAATCAGAAAGCAATCAACCAATGAAAATATACCAACCCATGCCATATCCCAATGCCATTTACTAAAAATACGAAGCAGAAATTATATATATCTATATCATAAAACTCACTTGTGTTGAACAAGTAACTCAGGAAAACTGATAATCTGCCCTACGAGAATGCCAATAACGATGAACAATTGATGATATGTTACTACTTTACCACGCATCTTTCGAGAACTAATTTCAATTAGATAGATTGTCGTTGCCACACAACTCATTCCTAGAGCATCAACGATGAGTATGTTCAATTCTTGTCTTCTACTTGATAAACAAGATATTCTGCATTACCTGCAGCCCAATCAGAAAGAAAAGGTGATATGTAGAAAAGGATAATAGTCAAATTTTTCATTTGAAGAGCATCTCTAACTGAAATTAGACTCGGTTCACCTCGATCATATCCGTGATAGATTTCCAGCGGAATAATCATCAGAATCGATGTTATTACGTGAAAGAGCATATTGACAAATATCGTATTTCGTCTAGAAATAAAAATGGATAAATCAAATTTTTTTCAACAATTATATCATAACAAGTGTCAACCTTGTCAAAAATGTATACCAAAATTGTGCAGTAAAACTACCAATGACAGCTCCTATAACCCAAACGATGCCATGAAGTGAATCAACAAAATTTTGAGTGAATTGATGTTCGATTGGTATAGCAGGTTAATAATAGTAACCTGTGTTGCTATATAACGAAATATTAATGTAATTGCAATTCCACCACACACGTGCTATCTATCTAGCTGTACTGCCATCTTTTTGACAGAGAAATGGATAACCTCGCAACCATGGGATAATGAACTAAGAATATCAGTAGCACACAACTAGATTTATACATAGATTCAAATAACAACTCACCCCATTGTAGAGATTCGGGTGT